ACATCAGCCACCACCATACCCAACACTTCGGTAAGCCTGTTTTTAAGTCTTGTTCTACATTTCGACGTCATAATCACCCGTAAGACGCAGAGATGGGCGACACGAAAATGTGACCTAACTTCCCAAATGAAACGCTTTTTTCCATCCTCTATTTCACCTGAAAAAAAAAGAAAACTAAAATTATTACGCGTGTAACAGTTTTTCAGCAATCGCTAAACTAATTGACGGTTAATCAGAATCACTGTATCGTCGTACCTGCGCGTGCGCACTTATTGTGATTATCTGTTTTGACGCCGCGAGTTATCTGTTTTGTTTGCTAACAATACTGTTTGATGTTTACGGTTTTGGGGTGTTCTTCTCGTTGCTTAGAAACTTTTTAATATGCCTGGTGTATTTTAAGTTTTAACTATCGGTAGGTAGGTACTAGGTATATTTTATCGACATGTCCACCCTTTTATCGACATGTACTCGTACCAAATCACCGAATAAATGCAAATACGAGTAACTCGTATGCGTGTGCATCGCTCACGCGCGCACGTGTGTCGTGCGCACGCGCTTTACTGCGTTATAGCTGAAACGCACTGCATACGCATTGAATAGGAATCGATGTCATCAATTATAAAGCAATATACACGTTTTTAAGCTATTTAGGTACTAAAGTAAGGAGGAACGTGGTAAGAAAATAAATAGATAAAGTTTAAATATGCTGTAAATATTGATTGTCTTCTAGTGTATGTCTTGTTGATAAATAAAATAAAAATATAGAGTTTTCCCACGGTCAGTATCATCTTCAGTACGAGAACACGTCGCGTCGCCAATGGTCGCGTCTCAAATTCTTAAAATTGATAAGAGATTTAAAGTTTTAAAGAAAATTTGTAAATGCATTGGTATTGGTGCATATTATGTATGAATGATACACAGGTAATGAGTGCGATGCTGCGTGGGCCGACGTTGCCCTGCGTCCTTATAAGGCGCTCTCGCGCAGGCATCGCCGGTCGCCACCGGTATTACTAAAGATGTTGTTCGTAATTATAGCGGAAAGTCTGAGAGTTTCGACCATTTGCATTCGGTCTCATGATCCTCAAATTGATGGAGGAGGATTAAAATGGTTTCCTTACACTTATCAGATAACTTATAAATGTTGTATGAGCTTTGTTGACATCAAACAAGATGTCGTGGTCATGCGTATTCACTTAAATTGCCATAATGACACAATAATCGAGTTCTTGCACATCTTGGGGTATAATGGGACTGCCCACACATCAAGATTTTTCTTGTCAACATTGGAGATGGAAATTCATGTAAACCTTATTTGAAATTAAGTATGGCCATAAAATACGAGTAGACATAAAAGTATAAAACAGACATGTTAAATAAATGCTGGTGCATACAACCAGTCTCATAAAGTTTCATGGATCGTACCTATTTAGTTTCCGCTATTAAAATTCTAATGATAGCTCAATAAGTTAAATGCTTCGCCAATGTTTTCCTATAGTTTTATTACTCGCCTACGCGTATATAGAGAGATATTTCAAACAAAAATTTGTCTACCAGTCCAGATTTATGACTATTAATAATACTCCTATTTCGTCTCAGACACCTAAGTATTCATTGTTTGTTTGGAGTTGGTCACAAACGTCGCGATAATTTAATTTATGAGCAGGCTGACTGAATGTAGGTTGTATCTGAACGTCATCATGATTTTACAAAATATGACAGTCTAACATAATCTCACACATCAACAAACACATTATGCTATCTAAAACAGTTTTAACTTTGATAAGCTCGTATATAGTGCTTCCCAGTCGTCATTTTCAGAATTTACTTGGTCTTTCTCTGTCCTAATGACATAATTTTAGTCCATCATGAACCGTGATCGCGCTGAACTGGTTAATTGATGTCTATGGACTTGGTTCATTTCCCGGGCACGATGATTTTATAATTCCCAAAGTAAGAATAAATCTTGTGCTTATTTGACTTTGGAAAAGTCTGCACACGTCACTTTTACTGGATCGTACCATTCGCAGTATGTGAACGTTGCCGTACTTTAATTTGATGAACACATGCCCAATAATATCCTGCGTTGTAGTTTTAAAATTGACAATGTTTAATATTTAGCCTCATTTGACTTAACCCAAAACATAAAATTAGATACGTTAATTATAAAATATTGAAACTAAACGAAGTGTAATTTGGCCCGCGATGACACACGCCCACGAATAGAAAACGTTCTATGTTTGTACTAATTTGCTATCCGGTAGTCACCGGTGACCCGGTGTCACTTGCAATGCATCCCAAACACTGCGATCGCAACCGATACATAACATTGCTCGATTCATTTTAAATACATAAGCTATACATTAATTGCTAACAAGCTTTGCTGGGATCAAAATTCTCTTATGATTCAACCACACCAGCAATGCGTGCAGATCGCCATCGCCGGCGCGATCATAGGCCAATGACAGGTCGCGCGGATTGTCATGGGTCGCGCGACCTGTCATTGGCTTTTGATCCCGCCAGCGATGGCGATCTGCACGCTTTGGTGTAGTTGAAGCTTTAGGCTTTTTAAAATTTTTCGTCTGTTTTTTCAAATTGAATCACCAATCTATCTGCAAACGCGAATGAGGAAAACATTATTTCAAAATTCCCATGTATCATTTCCGCAAAAGATGTCGGTGCCGCTTTAGATGATATTGTCCATGTTTTAAAGCTCAGCCATACTTTGTTTGACATTCTAGGGCAGTGAGCCAAATACCTGATGCACCTGCCAGCAGAAGCTCTGATATGGTAGAACCTAGCACAATGCCTCCAGAGACGTCTCGCTCATTGTGATGCAAATGTGTGACGTCACACCCATCAATGAACAGTGACATCATGTGTGTGTGCGTGGGATGCGCCCGCGCACGTATTTTTGCATTTTGGCGAATTCTGAACTTCATTAACGCTCTGTTATGGTAACTTCTATAAATGGAAAATTGAAACTACTTATATTTTTCTTTGAATGAAATCGCTGAGTCTAATACAATTTAAAATGTGCCTTCGTTTCTAGTTGTTGCTTTAATTAATACCCACTATTTCTGCCACTTTATGGGAAGCACTGGGCGAATAATTAACATTTTAGGACATAAAAAACCACCAATGTTTGCCTCAACTACTTTACCGATAAACCTATGGTAGTAGTACCATTACAAAAAAGATGAACACAGCTTTAAAATGAAATTTCATAAGCAATGTACCTAGGTAGCCGTAGCTTATTTGTTCGATCATTTATTTACTAATCTCGTAAGGCATGCCCAACTGCGAGTGTTCTACATATATTTATTTATGTCACACCATGTCACGACTGCTTGACCTGTGACACGACTCTGTAAATAACTTCAACTGCATGACTAATGCTTGCCCTGATTTTCGTGTTTACTCGGTGTTTTCCTAATAATGTTATTAATATTTGATGAATTCTTGGTAATCGCTAGTTGACTGAGAGTAATAATAATATTGCGAATTAAGTAACACTGCTCATACTTTTGTTTTCTAAGAGAAGACTATCGAGTAAAGTGACATCATCGCCAATGTATCCCTTCTGGCTGGATCATCAAACATAATGTTTTATTGCCTTGTCATTAAAATGAAATGGAATATTGGCAGTAAATCGCAAGGTTTACGCCGGCCTGAGTCACGTCACCTTCGTCGAACCTACACCTTGGCTGGCTCGCGTCTGAGCTCAGTATCCCTGCGCCCACGCATGTATATTCAACAGCTTCTAGTACCTACAACCTTCGATCACATTTGCAAACAAACGTCTTCATTTACTGGATGGTTTATTTCCTTTATCTACTTACTAGAAAGTTATTTATTTAGCTGCAGGAAGAAAGCGAGCACTATCGGAACCACTTACGGGACATGGTCGTAGGCCGTCGCTGATAAGAAAAAGGTTTTAGTGAACTAATCTGTACCGATAAATTGATCTTAATTATGATTGACGACGCGTATTGATCGTCTGTTTTAAAATATGATAATCTGATTCCGATCCGCGCTGTAAATTATAATATTATGATTTATTATTGAGTGGAAACAAGTTTCGATGTTAAATTATGTCCAGAACATGGTCCGATCGGATCTTGAAGCTTAACATTTGACAGCGTTACATTGTTCAGTGCCGAGTGCACTTTCCCTCATAATTTTTCGTTTACTAGTTAGCTTTAGATGTGTCGAGTAAGGGTCTGCGCTTGTTTCGCCTGTGTCTAGTGCTAATAACCTGCAGTAATGTCTTCTTGCGCCGGCTCCGCGCAGTATATTATTCCTCCTGCAATAGCTTGCACTGTAGACACGATGGTTTGTACTGTCGACAATTAATAAAGAAACGCTCCGGATGCAGGTTCTAGAAGTACTGTAGCGCATGCAAAGGCTCGTGCTGGATCAGGTGATTTTACGTTAAATTTAAAGAAACTCCTAGCCTGATTCGTCTAAGGCTTTCGCCCCGTCATTGTCCTCCGGCGGATTCGTAATCCATTGTGTAATGTGGAAAACCATTGCATTTATTGCTTTATTTAGCCTTTCTAATATTTACTATTACATACTAAACTTATTTGTCATAGTCTTCATAGACAAAATCATGGGTAACCAACTCCATAGTCCCAACATATTATTTCTATGTATGTGCCTATTAAGTTTTATTTTAATAGCTAATATCATCATCAGCAAGATTGTATTTTTGAGCAATAACATGTTCCATAAAGGCGTTTCGTTCATTAGTATACGTTTTATTATTATTGAATTCCTACGACACAATTTAATTTATTGTATAGGCCGTTGTCAAATGTACAAACAAGTTTTTTATCGTATCAATATAAATAACGCACTTAGGCTAATTAGTGAGAGGTCGTGTGTTGTGTCTCGCTTTCTTGGAACGCGGCCGATAAGTGGTTTATCTTTTGGAGCACGAAAGACGAACGAAAGCCTGCAGGAGAGGGATGAGGGAGGCAGGCTCGGCGCGGGCGCAGGTCACTCCGCGGCAGTGATCAGTGATCGCTCGGACGCCGCTCGCGCCGCACGCTCCACGCTCCGCTCGAAGCCCCGCGAAAAAACAACAACACCCCGACCCCGAGTGACCCTAAAGTGCATACCGAGCGGTCGGACGAACGAAACGACTTCGCGAACTCACCGCCATATTTATGAACGATCCTCGTTAACCACTAACACCCGCTTCGCTATAACTTAATAAGTGAGCTTAATTAACTGTTACTCTTATTAATTAACGCAAAGGTGAAAACGAAACCAGCGAACTGTGCACTGAAGACAGAGTTGGCGAATTTTAAATGTTAACGGGCGGTGGTCGCTGACGGCGGCGCCGGCGCTCAGGTGAGTTGCTGTTGTATTTGAGTCAACACGAGCCGGTCGGGCTCGCTCCCGCGGGTCTTTGACAGCTCAGTATTCTCAACGTGCCCGCGCATAATTTATACTTTACGCCTCATTCATGGAACCTCTAGCTGGTTTAACTCGTTCCGTTGTTATATTTTGGGAATGCGAGGCATTTGTATTGTTTGCGGAGTAACCAATTAATGTTAGTGTTATTATGATGACTTGTGTCATCCTCATGACACGACGCCGGTTGTTTGGCCGTCGCGACGAGAATGCGCCGCTTTGTTCGTCGGGACCAAAACAAATAACTCACCTGTATGCTTCTGATGTTGCCACTCGTGTTTACTCACCTGTTTCTTGAATTCTTTTCGGCGATACATTATTGTCTACCGATCCGTTCTTTATGTTAGATTTATCCGCGCGTTCTTAGTTAGCTGGAACAATATTTAACGTCCAATCATATTGAACAAAGAACGGGTTTTTATTTACATACGTAAGATATGGTTAAGAATTGCCATATTTAAGTTAAATTTTACTCTGTCATATAGGTAGGGCATGGTGTCAAAAACTTTTGGTACCCAACCCATAGGTAGTTGACCCCGAAGAATTCGAGACCTCCCTTCCCATCGGTGATTCATGCGATTGTAATGCAAAGGAGGCAAAGGTAACCGATGAGTGGGTCAATAAGATTGTCACGGCTTTTAACTGTAATTATGACCAGACGGCGAATGCTGTTGGTACGACTAGGTACGACTTTTATTGTAATTTGGAATTTAAATCTGTCAAGTTTCGAAATTACTTCCAAATTCCTTATTCCTTCCTTCCAAATACCTACTTCAAATCATTTTGTATCTGTAGTAACTACTATTGTGTTTTCCTATGTAGGTACAAGGCTACCTTACCACCACTTTTCTATCAGTTTCATGTATACTAAGGTCATTCGATAAATTATACGTACTGAAGAAAGCTTATGATTCCACGCTCATTCAGCCTTTATGCTTGTTATTTATTTATTTATTTATTTATTTGAACACCAACAAGGTTACATTGAGGCTTCACAAAAGTAGGTAACTATAAAAAATGACACTTGTTAAATGCAAACTTAATTATAGGTGAAAACATCATGCGTTAGAGACTAAAGCAACAGCAATTAGGGATTAAAATTGACTTGTTATTCAAGTAAAAGCAAAAGGAATAATGTAATTGCGGGTTTCAGTTTCTCCAAAATTGTTAATTTTATATTTAAACGATCTGGCTCATTACTTTTCATATCGAAGGATGTTAATAATGTCACTCGCGACATTATGGTTTCAGTACGTACCTACGAATTACGGCTCCGGCCTTGTGCCGCAGCTGGTAATTTCACTTAATTTAAAAGTAATTAATAATTATGAGTTGTCGCCGTATCAACCCCGGCCTCGATACAATTGTCATTTCTCAATATTTGGTTGTCTTCACTTTTATCGGCAGTTGCCGTACACAAACACTCGTCTTTTACTCGAATGTTATGCTGCCACACTGACCTAACTTAACAGGCAATTATCTGCATTATTGTCTTTAGAGACACTATCATCCATCAATACCACTTACTTAATCGATTGTTTGGGTTACAACAAATACCTTAAATACTTAGCCGATGACCAACTCCTTTCCGATTGGAATCCAATAACATCCTTTTAGTGGACAAATCGTATTGCTTTGTTTAGAGATCGTTAGCTATGTTTAGCGGTTGTCACCGTCCGGTATTGCCTCCGGCTCGTTTCGTCGCATTTCAAACAAGATTCCTACCACAGTAGATCTGAATAAAAGGCCTTAACCCCTTCCTATTCCTTTATAAGCCTCAGTAGACCCATAGTTTTTATCATCTCAGCATAAAGACTTCCTCTGCTAAACACCTTTACAGACCCTATAGTTTAGCAGCTGGAACGATCAGTTAACGGCCTGCGTATAAACCTCCCCGCAACTTTAATCAGAACCCAGATTATCTACTAATAATTGACTAGGTCTAGCTTATTAAAGAGCTTGAATGCCGCGAAGCCTATAACCGTAGGGTGTACGTTTTTGTTTGATTTATTTTGCATTGGGTTACTCACCTACCACAATATCAGCCAGCATCAAAACACTGATGTTATTTTGAGAGATCTAATTAACTAAATGTAATGTATTTCTTTAAGAAACAGAGTGAAGTCCTTAGGTGAAATCTTATACATTATTTACTAATTAGTTGTAGCTTTTTTCGAAATATTTTAAATGAAACCTACAAATAAAGTTTATGTAATGCCTTCGTTATTACCTCTACGATTGTGACGCGCCTGATGCAAGCGCGGAGACCTCACGGCTGCGCGTGCGCTATCACTTCGCTGCTATTCCGTGGATTGGGTCATTTTTCCTACGCTACCACAAAGACAGCTAAAACGTTGATCAATGAAAGCAGACCAATGTTATTGTACATTCAACTAATCACCACAGAAGATAATGGCATAAGAGCAACCCCATGGCAGATGGGTAGGGTTTTGTCTGAAATTATTTTTACTACAATCATGTCAAAAAACCACGTTTGTATCTGAACGGCATTTCAATCCGATTTTCATTCCAGTATCAGTTCTGATAACCCGCTCTTCAGGCCACCCATTCCGCGCCACCTACGCCTCTCACGCACTTGCTACTAAATACTGCCATCGCTTGTGGTTTCCCGTTAATGGCAATAACTATTACCGCGTCTGTATCCTCAAACAGGTCTTTGAGATCAGGAACACCATTTAACTTATTTGAAGTCTTCTTTTTATCCATGTAACGTAATTTGTTATGTAACCGTTTTCCAAAATCGGGCTATTTGGGGCAATTCTCCATTGCAATCCCAGTTAACCCAATCTTTTCCATCCTGGAAAAGCATGACAACGATTTTCCGTCATCTCCTTGAATGTGTACTTATCAATTTATGTTTGGCGGTTTCTGAGCTGATGTCGGTTGTTTTTATTAGAGCGAATCGTGTTGTTGATACTAGCCCGATCTTGGAGGCTTCTTTTTGATGATTTATTGATATTACTTGATGGGACAATGAATAACGTGAAAATAATCTGGCTATTACCTTTTGGCTATGCTCAAAATTACCTAATGTGTTGTCTAGAGCTCGCCCAATCAACTCCAATCACGCTGACATCCACTGCCCACACTGGGCGGCTCACTCTTAAAAATATCCTTCCTGATAATATTGGTGACAATATCACGAAATATTAACCGATTCTCTACTTCAAAGTTGTTGTCTGTCTGGACTATAGTAGATACGAGTATTAGATAGTATTGTATGTTAAATTATTTATGAGTGTTACACTGTGTAACTTGGAGTTGGAAGTTATGATCTACGGTTAGCTGCCAAGAATCTTAAAGAAACCTAATTGTTTTAGATTTTATTTCAATACTCACACTTATTATTAAAGTTGAATCTAGGTGCGCCGGTTGCTATGTACTCCCATTGTTAATGCGTGTGACCAGTAATGGCCGCTGGGAGGTCGGTCACACTCCAATTACCGAAAAATTTATAAAAGTTGAGAGTAATATTTTTAAAATTAATGAAATTCAATGAATGAAATTGATTTATGTGCATAATACCACCATTGTATGATTTTAGTTACTATTTTTCAACGGTATCGTTCTCTTTACTCCTAAACGCACGAGTTGCTATTGCCTACATTTTTATTTTCATATTGTGGCTTGCATCATGAATTTTATTATTAGTGATGTTTTTTTATCTAATTACCATGGACTCTTCGCTAGCACTATTGTACTGTAACAACGCTATTAATGCTATCTTTTTATGCGAATAAATATGCATTATTCTTGTTATTAATTAGGTATGGTGCGGCACGAAACTTAATAAAATTATGATTAACAATATTATAATCGCTTCCAGAATCCGAAGAAAATTGAACACATCAGCATTTATCAAAGTTCTTAAAGTTCGTTTATCTAATTTCACCAATGGTCCTACTCGTACGTGCAATGTGCATTCTCACGGTGTTTGGTGCGCACACGCCGTGACGAGTGTAAGAGTGGAGTGGACCACATACATTATGTCTTTCGAGCTTTAACCCTTTGAGAAATTACTTCATTTCTATTCTTACCTTAGTCTGGCGTAAGTAGGAACGAAACGAATGACAGAAATCTATATCGATAAAGACACAATTTCTTGCAAAGTCCTCGGAAATCCTTAAATTACCTATATTTAATTTTGATCCTCAATTTTCAACATGTCAAGAACAAGTCATTTAAAACTTTGCAATACCGTCCAGAACCTGTTTTCTGCCTCAGATAAAGAGTCGAGCAATTTTTTTCCCGTTGAAATATAATTACGCGTCAACTCATTTCCAATGTAATTCAGCTTGAATCACAGTCACATACTAAGGAAATCAGAAACGTCCAATTTCCCACATTCCTCATAAATCTAGGACCGTTCGTGGGTAGATTAACTTTTCCACTTAGAAATATGAGTCGTGATGTAAAACGGGTTCCGTACAACTAGACCGAGTGGCCTTCCAGGCTCGCATCCGTCTCCATTGAGCCTGACACGAAGGGGTGAACTTATGTTGATGTCGATATCGATGATTGCGAGTACAAAGATGTTTCTTTTACGTATTATGTAATTAGGCAGTGTTTTTTTCGAGGGATATTTTTCTTTAATTGCCATTTACCAGTACCATTTTCATGTGAGTTACGAATACCTGAAACCTTTTTCAAATATGTAGTCTAAAACAATGGGTAGTTTATTTTAAAGGCAAGACTTATAGCCTTTGTTTACAAGAAACCACTAGTTATAAATCTTCTTTATTTATTTGAGTGTGGTTTAGGTTTAGTGATCATCAATATTTACCTTTCATACAGTGACGCAAACGTCACTAGCCAGTAATCGCATGCAGCTGAACCGATCGCGATGCGCCCACGCGGCGGTGCAATGTCGCTGTAAATGCGGCGATGATGCGCGGCTCACGGTCACCAGGGCCTGG